TTTATTTGCGGCTACCACTTATTATTTTGTCAAATTATCAGTTTAAGTCGGTTCCAAATTAATTAAAAAATAAAACTATACGATATGCCAATTACTATATTGATATTAATAATTATTAAGTGTTCAGAGCTCTATAATAATTGTTAATAATTTGTTGTGAGTTACTTTGTTTTCAAATTCATACATTTATCAACTAATTATAAAAACATAAAAGTAATGAATAATTATTAATAATTATAAAACACAATTCGAAAAAGATTGTTTTGAAAATGTCATCAAAGGAAATTCACGTGAGATAGAATAATATCCAAAGTTTTTTAAAATATATCGAAAGATACTATTAAGTATTAACTCTTGTTTACTATACCGTCTAGAAGGTAAATAGACACTCCTGTAGTAATATGTCCATTGATTAGACTAGATCAGTATTATGTTAATTAAATATAAAACACATTTAAAATTCAGTTTGTACAACAAATAGCATTAATTTAAACAATTTAAAAATACAAAAAAAAAATATATATATATATACGGTGTACATAACACTATAACAGAACAGTAAAGTTGTAAAAAAAAGTAATATGAGTGTTGATGAAACATAAACGTTAAATACTGCATTTTAGATTAAATCGGAGTGTCATTTTTAATGAACTGTCTGTTTTAATCAAACATGTAAACGTATAAAAACTATATATTTATAAACAAAACAGTGGGCATAATTTAAGTAATTTACATTTAGTTAAAAAATAATATATAATTAATTCAAAGCTATATTTTGTGTATGTGTGTTATTATTATTTTAATCATGCAAATGTAAATAGGTGATGTCAAAAATATTAAAATAAGTGACATCTGTTTACTGTAATAAAATAACATTTTTTCATTAAAAATATTTCAAATTCAACACTGACTAAAAATTCACTAAAATAGTTAAAATACCTATAGATAAAAAAAAAATAACATTATGCTTAATAATGAAAAATAAATAACTATTATATTGTTTATCATCAATAACGATGATTTGTGATCTGCAACATTTTATCTTGCATTCTGTTAATCGACATAACGTCATTTGTACGAGGTTTAGTTTGTGTCTATAAACAATATTGTCCAATTGTTTTTTTTATATTGATTATTTTAATTGCTTAAGCATTTTTGTGGGTTTATTCTTAATAAGCATACTTTTATTAATAATAATCAATGGTGTAATTAATTGCATTATTTCCAATAAATTTCAAAAATAATTATACTGGAATTACCCAGCATCAATAATTTATATTAATTAATAACCTTTATTATTAAAATTATTTTTCGCATAAAATATATATAATTTCCTTTGAAGAAAATTCAATTTTTTTATAGTTATTGATTTTTATAACCCATCGTTCAATATCAATATTTCAATAGTGTCCAACACCTCATCATTTCATGTCGCTTTGATTAATATGCCGCGTAACCGTTAAATCAACACCGTTTTATATTTTTCACAAAGTTAACGATCAACATTTTTTTTCCTTCATCAAAAATGGCAATTTTTGATAAATAAAGTACATATATAATATAATATTATATAGGTACATAAGCACTATTTTTTTTCTCATCCAATTCAAGGGTTTTTCTTTATATTGCTACTGTCCCTAGAAAATGACGGTATACTAGCAGATTGGGTTACGGATGAATTGATCACTGAAAAGAGTTTTCTTTTTTCTATATCATCTTGGATATAAATGTATATATATATATATATATATATATATAAAAAAAAAAAAAAATAATAGCAACATGTCATGGCTGGCGTAACCAACAAAATAAACAGACCTGTAGAAATGAACCTTTAGAACGGACAAGTGCGCTTCTCTACCCTTTGTTTGTTTACATTTTCACACTTCCTCACTAGTTTGCAAAAAATATACAAACATCTAATGTGGTACAAGAAAATCCAAGAGGAGAGAAACGCACTCAGTAAGAGAGTAAAAATACAAACAATTGTCACTATTTTAAATTGAACAAAAAATATATGTTCTATAGGTAGATACTATTATGTGAACAGCAAAAAATATAAATACAATTTAGTAGGTATACATATAGTTAAAACAACATATACTCGTAATACTGGGTCACAGGAACCTTCATAATTTAGAATTATAAAACCTTTGCATGTTTATAGCTTTTGAATTTTGATACATATTATTATGAAGTTATTTGGGAAAATTATTAGATTACTTAATACAATAATTGTTATAAAAACAATATTCAACCTAAATATTAATTGGATTACATTTTGAAGAAGAAAAAAATTGTAATCAATTTAAGTATCAATTAAATGATTATTACTAGGTACTTGAAAATATTTTATCTTTGACTGGAAATATTTATATTTCATTAAATACGAAAAATAAAAATAAAAAAATGATCAAATGCAATTATTGTTAAGTGAATTCAGCATTATATATAATAGTTTTTAACGTTGTTCCATTTTTTAAGGACATTGATAAAATAAATAATAATTATAATACTAATGATTGTTATTATTCAGTATAGTGGGTACTTACAGTACCAACCTACCTAAATATATTTTGTCTTGAATTGTATTATTTAAATGGTCATTTTTAAGTATGAAATAAAAATGCCCAATTATAAAATGAATACAAAATCTGGGATACTTGTTTATTTTAATTAATATTTATTTTCAACCACAGTTCATAAATCAATGCATATGATTTTTGATACAATGGTAATTGTGATTTCGATTTATGATTAATGTATGCATTCGAACATTTTGATGTGTCACTGGAGTTTTTGTGTCTATATTACTATGCAATTGTTTCCATAAGATGGTCCGTTGAATAAAGTTTGCAATCGAGGGTTACACTTGGAAAGTTTTGAAGCGCCAAAAACCTTTATGGAAATATTGATAAAACAATAAAGATATTTACAAAAGGTTTAACAAAGAAGGTTTAACATTTCTAAACAAAATAAATTAAGCTTCAACAATATAATAAATTCTTAAGATAACAATAAATGAATAGAATTAACCGGGATAATGTTATTAAATTTGACGCTGTAGAAATTATTTACCTCCGTCATAATAACTTCAATGTAATATTTTGTTAGTATTGTTTTGGTTGGTTAGGTTATTATTAGTTTAAATGTCAAGAAAAAAAAACATGAACAGTACAATAATTTTCCAACATTGAATTGGTCGATATACACCTACAATTGTACATACGTATTATTATCGTACTTGACTAGAAAATATGCAATTGAAGTCGTAAATTGTCAGTCTAGATTATACTCGACTTTGAATCAACGTAGCGAAATATTTCTTATGTTATTAACTCGTACCAAGTATATGTTTCAAGGCGATTGCCAATTAAAATCTAATTCGTTTTGAGCCCTCCTCGCTGCGTGGCCTTAAACGCTTGACGACATATTTATGGAAACACACGATTAATCAATAGAATCTCGTTTAAGTACGACTGCAGCCAAAACGGGACAGGTCGTGTAAATACACAATATACATACATTACCTACGCGTCTGTGAGTAAACATTGAATAGCAATTCTGTAGCATATCATACCTACTCTAATAATGTTATGAGTGACTCGACTCAAGGGTGCGTTTCACTAGGTATACAAACAATTTGTTGCAGTCCACCGTGCAGATAGGTGTGTGTAAAATGTAAATACGACTTATGAGTATAATTGAACACAGTTCAATAAAAAGTCAAAATATAATCGCATGCCGAGAAGCTCCGATATTTATTCCCCGAGATGTGTCATGATTCAAATCGACCTAACAACCAGAAAATACCAGATTAAATTTGTCTAATGATATGATCGAGTCATATTTCTAACTTATCATAGGCGACGACCCCCCTCGGTTGTGTGGCTGTACGGTGTTTAGCCATTGAAAATAGCTAAGTTGCTAAATTATACAATATAAATAGAATTTTTGTAGTCTAGTCTCTAATTTGTTTAAATACTAGTGTGGTGCCGCAAAACCTCAATTTTTTAAACTCGGCACTCTCACGACTTCACGCAAAAGTTATGTAGCTTAATTTAAAAAAACTAAAGCTATGACTTTTGAATTAGCTACGTGCTATATAATGACAACGTCATTGTCTTGTAAATTTCAATAATGACCAGTCAGATTTAAACAACTAACGTTTAGTTTAAATTATAATACCGTTTATTAAGTAATAATTTATTGATCAAAGGAAACAAAAACTGAACAATTGTTCGCCAAAACTAAAGAGATTGTCGTATGCCAAATAATCAATATAATATAATGTACTCGTATTATAATATATATTATGATATTATAACACATAGTTTCAATTAGAAAAAATATATACGATTTTCTAACGCGTGGAGACACTGCAGCAGGAGTGGACATATATTATTGTACTGCCTTGTCTTAACAACGACACTGCAGTAATACAGTAGTGCCTATTATGGACCTAACCTATCTATTTCCCACACTTACGTACTGTCATAAATACAACACATTATTATTGTGTGCAAAGCCGAGGAAGCCATTTCCCGAGGAGCCATGAACACATCTAACTACACGTATATACCTATATAAGTACTTCGTGACGTAGTATCTATACGAAATATAATTCTCGTCCGTTTAACGGTAGTGAGCACACACGCCGTAGGTGGGTACGCTCCTATTTTTATTTCTCTGTGTTTTTTTTTTTTTTGTTTTCAATTGCCCCGGTAATGTCAGCATCCGCTGTGGAGGAGCTATAGGCTTCCCAATTGAATGTCGCGCCCATGTCTGCAGCGAATTTACTGTCATCGTCGTCGTCGTCTTTATTATTATTATTTAATACGGTTATAAAACACCGCCGCCGCAGACGCACCCAAAAATACCGATTACCTCACGGTGTCGGCCGTGAAACGCTAATACGGAATGACAATAATGATGATGATAATAATAACAATAATGATACTGATATCCCTACTCGAAGTCGGCTGAAAATCGGGTATTATTTAAGGACGAAAACTGTTCGGGCCTCGGCAGTCCCCCGCAATCCGTTTCGGCGCGTCGTCAGTAGAATAATATATTATTAGTTATTACCGGGCAAACGATATCACCTGACTGCAATTGTTTCGTAATCATTATTAATCGACGAACAAGACGATGATGAGCTCCTCGATGACCGGTCCGAGCGGCGGCGGTGGCGGCTTGCAGAAATCGTCGGCCGGAGGTCCACTGTCGCCGTCGCCGCAGTCGGCGGTCGACAAGTCGGCGGCGGTGTCGTCGGGCTACGGCACGTACAACAGGCGCGGTACCGCAACCACGGTAGATCGCCGTCGGCGGACCGATTACCGCGGTGGCAGGGACGGAGACCACCACGACGACGACGACGACGGTGACGACGACGACGACCGACTGTCCGAGCTGTCCGACTCCGGACACTTTCTGGCCAAGGGTGCGTTCCTCATCACGCCCAGCAACGAGCTGAACCTGGAGAAGGCGACGGCCATATGCGAGAAGATGAACTATAGAGGACCGTACTCTGTGACCAGGACAGCCACGGGCATTCTGTTCAAGTTCGCCGAACAAGACGACTATCACGTGACGTTCCGCAAGGGGTTTCACAAGGTGACCAACTCGAGGTTCTACAAGAAGGTAAGCGGTAATAATAACAATTGTATAATCGGATAATTATTATTATTAATTGTCTCGGACAAAAAAATTCAGACAATTTTTGGGCTGAGCGTGTTAAATTGTCTCTTGTATTTACCAATTAAAAAACCTCTGGAATTTAATTATAGTCCGCGAGAGAATTACATTTCAAAATAATGTCCCAGTACAAAATACTACGTATGTCTTTAAGATTTAGATATTCAGTTGTAATTTATAGTTTATAATATATTTTTATTTTATTTTATTTACTCCTTTAAATTTTTGTAATGTTTATGTTATTCTTACATTTTGTAACTGATTATAAGTCCTGAAAAATGAAAATACACTGGAACTAATCCAAAGTAATTTATAACTATCGATCTTAAATATAATTAATGAAGGAATTAGAAATATTAATGCAATTGAAATCTGTGTAAGTATCTTATTATATATCTATAATGTTTTTTGATATTTTCATAATTTTCCGAGATCCATAATATTATAGTTGAATTTGTAATAGTAGTTATTCAATTATTGTGAATATTAAAAAGTAGTTGTATAGTATGGTATTTGAAAATAAAACTAAATCCAATCATGCATTAGTTAAATTATGATTTTCTACGAATTTATTCTTTACATAATATTCAACTTTACAAGTAATATTAATAGAACAAACTAGACACTAGTAAGTAATTGGTAGACATATTATTATGTTATCCTTCATTTGTATGTGTATTAATTTGGAAGTTTAAATACTTAAATTGGTTTTATAACAATTATTTCATACCAGTAGGCGGTGGGCGTCTTTAATAGTTCTTTATTTTACTGCTTGTGAATAAAATCAGTTAATCTAATATAAAAATAAATAATGCGTCTCATTTACTTTTTTAAAAGATATGAAAAGTGAAATGTGCCATTAGTTTAATCTTTAACGATTTATTTTTGTAAAGTATGTAATAATTAAATTCTATTTGTTTATTGTTATAGAATTGTTTAAAAACAATTTTTAAATTGGAATGATCCCATTTTCGTATCGTATTAAAAGTTGACTGCCTAAAATGTCAATTGGTGCTTAAAATATTGAATTAATAAGAGAAACTTCAGAATCAACATTTGTATTTTTTTTTTATTCTTCTATTAATTATTATAATATTAATTTTAGCATTGTTTCATATTTCAATATCATATATAATATGATCGCATCTGTTAAACTATACATTTAAATTAATTTTCTTTTTTGTATATAAAATGTAATATATCATGGTGATCAGTTTAAAAAAGTTAAATTGTGTGTACAAAAAGTATTATTGTATACTCACTGAGTAGACTATGTTTGAGAAGCATTAGATAAACTTGTAATTTCTATTTTTTACCTCAAAACGTTATACAGGTATCATAATATTATAAATATTAGAATTTATTATTATTATTTTTATATTTTATTTATTTCACAAATAACAAATTATGTACAACAGTCGGCAAGTAATGCAGCTGAAAAGAAATCATTTTTAAAATACAATTTAAATTCACTATTAAAATGTTGAGTAAAGTACACAGTTAAACGATACGTTTCCAATGTTCATGTTACGTAATATATTATAAATTATAACACACTTCCAAAACCAACACTAATAAATGTTTAATTAAGTAGTTTACCCAGTAAAATCATTACTAGCATTATATAGAACATAATATGTTCCTAATATAATACAAGTTGACAATCGTCGATCGTAGATAGAATTAATTAATGTCTAGTTTTTTAATTCAGGAACTATATTTGTGCAATAAATATATTTGGCACTGATTTCGACATTTAACATTTTCTATAGTTATACCTAAACTATTCTGATATGTTATATTTAATTGAGAACATTAAAGAAATATTGTTTCATTTATTGTTATACTCGTAGCCCGTAGGTACCTAGCCTAATTTAGAGAACAATTTTAAATTAAAAATAACTACATAACTTATAAAGAATTTGATTACGTTTAATAATGTTATTATCTTTAATTTATTTTAAAAAACACAAACAACAATAGTAACCGAACTCATAATTTTAGCTTTGGAATTGTAGAGAAGAAAGAAGAAGGTTAAAAATATTTTTTTTTTAAGTTTAAGAACTGAAATTTTATGATGTTTCACTCAGTCTATTATTTCATTAAACTTAGCTCTTTTATAGTTTACTTGCATGTAGAAGTACAGAACGTGACTAGAAATCCCAAACAAAAATCAGTCGAGCCACAATAAATTACATTACACGGTTTATAAATTATGTTATACGAATTAGTTTTTTCAGTTATAAAGATAATATTATAATCACATTAGCTTGAAACAAAATATTATACCCATGTAAAAGTATAATAATGCTTAATGTAATTTTTTCTAAATAACAAACACGATTATTGTGCTATTCATAAATTTATAATGCCGTGTTCATATCTTAATTTAATTTTTAATTTATTCAGTTTTCCAAAGAAAAAGAGTTATGACCGACTAATTTAAAGTAATTTTTAAAAGATTCTATTAAGTCCTCTACAGAGTTTTAGTGGTCATAATTTAAGGTTATGTACACTGTACATAATATTATAACAAGAAGTAATTTGCAAGGTTTGGTTTTTAAATAGCCTTTAGTACATAAAATAAATAAGAAAATCCGGAACAAAAATTAAAAACATCTACTTTAAAAAACTTTTTTGTTTATTTCTTAATTTATTTTAAAGAAACAACCTCCCTCAAATTTTACTGTTATTGTGATATTAATGAATTTTAACATTAATCTTGAGAAAAAAATATTTAACACATGTTTTACGTCATCAAAAATTAACTTTTGAATTCAAAATGATCAAAACATAAATATAATTTAGTATACACATTTACAATACGTTTTAAACTTATAGTCTTATTGATATTTCGGTAAATTAAGTACTAATAAACATGGCTTTATATTTTTGTTGGGTATAAAAAAAAATACTAGCTTCGTAAAACGCATATTTTCTTATGCCATAGTAGTTATATAGCATAATATAATATAATATTCCTTTATTAAAAGTTAAAACTATAAATATAATTAATTTGTAAGCAAAACAGATGATAGTTATGTTTGAATAACAAAGCAGCTGAACAAGATTAAACGAAGTCAAAGTCTTTCAAGTTAATCATTGGAAATTTGTCGAAAAAATATATTTATAGTCAATGGATTGGCCGGTCAACATTATTTATAGATAATACCTCTTTGGCCACAATTTTCTTTTGAATCAGTTGTATTTATCGATAAATTCGTCTTGGCGAACTAAAGGGTATTCTTTCAGTAAATACTTATGCCGTGGGTGTGTGAAAGGAAATTACCCGTCAACTATTATAGTTTGAAAAATGACATAAAGTGTATTGTATTATATCTGTTTGTTTGCCTGACATTGAATAGAAAATGCCACAATCTAACAATATTCTCTCTCTCTCTCATTTTCTTGTTTATTTTTTTCAAAGAATTTTTTGGTTTAAACAGAAGTACATTTTTTTTATCATAAAGCTATGGTCAGGTTTTATTAAAATATGCCTCTTAAGAAAAATAAAATTGAGTTGAAAATGAAAAAATGTAAAATTGCAATCTCTTTAATAGCTCTTTATGTTATATACTCGTACTTCTTCTTTGAAGGATTTAATATGAATCGCGAATATATTATTTTTAAGTAAAATTATTGTTTGACTGTCAACGAAACGTTTAGGTATATATTTAAAATTAAACTTAAGTTGGCAATTGAAAAAAATATTATTTCATATTTTCTATGGTGAAAATGTAATAAATAATATATATGTATAAATAAATGTGTTACATAGATACTGTTGAGGTTAAGAACTACAACTTTTCTCGCTTCACTCGATTTTTCTCAATTATAATGTAATATTGCATTAATCTTCTAGCAGTTTGCCCAGCAACAGATTTTCTGGTAAGTTTTACAATGCCTACAACAAAAGGATCATTTAAAATTAAATTGCTTCAATAAAATTGTTATTAGCTTTAAGTCTTAATACAATAATTAGATGAATTCACTAATATTCATATATTTTACTGTTACTATTATAATTCATTTTTTTTTTTTTGTAATTGCTGAACGAATTGGCAATTATTTGCAAATGTTCAAATGGTCTCTTAATGTATGCCCCTTACACACAATATCCACTCTGTTGAATCTATAAAATTACTGTAATATTACTCTTAGAACACTTTTGAAGTATCAGAAAGTGTTCAGTGGAGTAAATAAAACATTATATTATTGGAGTAAAACGGCTTGTTCACGATTGAACGTGTTTTTTGCATGAGGATACACAGTATATTCTAGGTTAGATGGATGCATCAATGTTAGACGATGGTGCAAGACACTTAAACACATATTTATTACGTTTTCTGGTCTTTAGAAAGGCGTTTATTCGAAATTGCATGTCAATGCGTAATTATAATGATTCAGTGGGGAATGAGAGGGCTATTTTAAAATACATAGTGCTTTAGTCTGTCAGACTGTCTTTATCACCCATCGGCAAACACTGATTGGAATATAATAATTTCTCATTTATTAATCCATTTTTTTATATTACCCATAAGTTGAATATTAAAGACGGATTTATTTTTTGTCATCAGTCATAAGCTTGAACAATATAATCACTTAAATAGTTATAATGTTTTTATGAACATTCGTATATTGATTATTAAACAATTTAAAATAATAATACAAATTATAATTTATCATTTTAATGTTCATAATATTGTTGATTTATTTTTTCAATTATAACAGAAATAAGAGCGTATTTGTGGTGCATTATAAACTTTAATTATTAAATAATTCGGTCTAAAGTTCGATCTCATAATCAAACAATCAATGTGAAAAAACTTTGTAATCCTGTTTAAAAACGTTAAGTATTAAAAAAAAAAATTGTAAATAGCTTAATGTCATGAGAGTATAATCTTATACCATAAACAAATTTGTATGCAACCGAATTTTAATAAGCC